TTATGGTTTTTGATTATTACTATTTAATATTACTTGAGTAGAAACAAGAGAACTTATTGAATAAAGCCCATTCATTTGAGGTATTCCTTGAGCTATTCTGAATCTTCATCTTATTGTCTTTACTTCAAAAAAACTAGTCAGGGGCTGGCAATGAAAAAGGAATCATCCCAGTTCTCTATCAAGATTTTCTAGAACAGAAATGGTTACCTTATTTGACAGATGGGCCATCTGAGACCAAGAGGGTTAGGTGACTTGTCCAGTAACGAAAAGATACAGCTGGAATTTGAACCTAGATCATCTGCTTCCTAAATGCAACACCCTAAAAATGACATTCAACTGGCTCCCGCTAGCACCTTACCAAGACATGTTGAACTAGGGTTCAAGCCAAAAATAAGAACTGAGGGGCTGGAAATATGAATAAAGGGGAATGACTCCACTGGATTTCCCTGAGTGAATTTGATCCACTTTTCTCCAGGTGGGAGATTACAAGTTATATAACCACCACCCTCACATAAAGCTATCACTTCCATGATATAATCCATACCCGGAAAACCTGAATCCTAGGGTGTTCCAATTTCGGCACAGCTGATTTCTCAGAACCTATTTAGGCAAGATCTGGCACACAAGCTCTCTACCTGAAATCATGGAGCTAGGAGGGGCCTTCACCATCTTTCTGGCTCTCTGCTTGTCTTGCCTGTTCATCCTCATCGCCTGGAAACGGACCCAGAAAGGGGGAAAGCTGCCCCCTGGTCCCACTCCGATACCATTCCTGGGGAACCTGCTGCAAGTCAGTACCGAAGCCACCTTCCAGTCCTTCATGAAGGTGAGTCTGACCCAGGCTCCCTGAGAGTGGGAAGCAACTAATTCCACAAACACACATCGAGCCTTCTAGCTTCTGAAACACAGACTCTTAAGGCACAGACTTTATGGAGCTTAGCACAAGGGAACTGAAGACTCACCCTCTCCAGACTTTAGAATCATAATACCTTGTATTCTTAAACATACAAATTTTTCTTGCATACTGGCTGTCTTAGAATTTTGACACTCGTTAGCATGAAAACTCAGGAACTAGAAATTTAGCCTTTCATGGAGAGATGAATCTTGGCATTCATCTCACGTGGGCCCATCATTTCACAGATGAAGAAACTAAAACTCTGGGGGTGTTGGAGACAGGGGTCTCACCCAGGGTCCCAGGAGACAAGAGTTCTTCCAAGCCCAAGAACCACTGTTAATTGATATCCCCATATTTTTATTGCCTTGAAATTCCCACCCCCTAATATTCTTTTTACCCCAACAATTCGATATTTATTTAAAGTAGATATTTATTTAAAGTAATACATTTGCAGCTCAAATAAGTCCTAACTTGTACATTTTAGATTTAGCTAACTTCATAAAAATATTTCAAGGACAGCTGAGCCACAGATTTTGACTACACAATTATTTCTTGGCCCATTCTTCTCTCTCCTTTCCCAAGTAACCGCTTTTGGATACAGTTCAAGGTAAACTTTATCCGTGTTGTATTCTGTCCCCTGCTCTTTAGGAAAGAACTGTCACCTAGTGGGCAGGCCCAGTGCTCTCCTAATACAAAACACCCTGTCGTTATAAAGTTCCTTGGAAAGTCTTTTCTTTTTTTGTTTTTTCTTAAAAGATTTATTTATTTTTATACAAGAACTGGAGTACAGGCCAGATGCGCAGGAGGGTGAGATAATTCACCGGAGACAGAGCAGGGAACAGAACTGGCAGGCTGAAGAAATACTCTGCTGAGGGGAGCAGCGGGCGGGGCAGGAGAGGTCTGTTGCACCGTGTGAGATTCTTGCCAGCTGGCCAGCCAGAATCAAACCTGCACTGCAGAGGCTGGGGACAGCTTCACAGTGTGGCGCTCAACCACTTGCGACACCAGGGAGATCTGGAAAGTCTTTTCTTAATGGCTCCTTTCACAACCTTATCCTGTTATATTGTATCATCTCACATGAACCCCAGGATACTGAATCCTGCAGCACTTTAATACCATTTTCTAATACCCTCCTCCAATGTGATGCCACAACAGCCAGTCTGCTCAACATTTTGACCTGCGACCCTCCCTAAAGTTCCTGACTGGTCCAATCAAGCCCTCCTGTATGTCTTCCTTCATGTCCAGCTCCAGGAGAAATATGGCCCAGTCTTCACAGTGTATATGGGACCCCGGCCAGTCGTTATATTGTGTGGACATGAAGCAGTGAAGGAGGCCCTGGTAGACCGAGCAGATGACTTCAGTGGCCGTGGAGAACTGGCTTCAATAGATAGAAACTTCCTAGGTTACGGTAGGTACTAATATGACATGCAAAATAATAACGATGGGCTTCCTATGTCCTGGGTTCTTTGATAAGTACTTGACATGAATTATTGCATTGACTCATTTAAAGAGCTACGAATACCTTGCTGATTTTACAAATGACAAAACTGAGCATGAGAAAGATTAGGTAATACCACACAGTAGGTGGTAGAACCATTCTATTTTGAGCCCAATTGCACCCCAGTGCATCTGCTCCGTTACTTCTGCTCTTATTTATTACCGTTGTTATTATTTTTATTGAAGTACCATTACTTTATATCCTTACCAGTATTTTGACAGTGTAGAAATCCCCCCCAGATGTGGTCACTATAGCCCTCCCTCCGCTGAAGCACCCATCGTCCTCCACCACAGTCCATTGTTTTCCCCCCATAACCCTGTTTTTACTCTGTTCTTAGATTAATGGGTTAGTGACACTCTTTGTATACCCACAGGAGCCCTCATAGCCAATCTTCTTATTTTCCTACACGTACACGCACACAATCCATTAGTCTCTACCTCTTCCAATTAGGTAGGAATCTTTCTATAGTGTCCCTAGACATCCAACAATAACCAACCATACCTTTCAATCCCAAAGAGCTTCACACCATTCTTTCCATAGTTCCATTCATTCATCCATCTCTATACTTTTCCTTCCTTCTAGACATTTTCCCATTGGTCCATAGATCCACCCAAAATATCCATCATTAATTAGCTTTTCTAGACAAATATCTTTCTATTCAATTTATGTCTATCAATTAATTTTCTATTTACCCATCATGCAATCCATCTATTCATTAACACTTCCGTCATTCATTCATCTATTCATTTTTCCATCTATCCATCTTTCCATCATCTGTCCATCCTTCCAAGCATTTATCCATTCATCTCAAGCCACCCATCTAGTAACCCTTCACCTATTCATATAATTTTTCATCCATCCACCCATCAGTTGTTGCAGTCATAAACTTCCTTCCATTAATTAATCTACCAATTAGGTGGTAATTTCTGGAAATTTTTTAATGTTTCTCACAACACAGTAACTTCTTTGGTGGAGATACGTGGATGTACAGGGATGAGCTTCTGTGGACATGTATGAGTATGTCTAGAGATTCCAGACAGCATATAGCAAAGTCTCCTCAATCAGGAAATTCTCTACGGCATCTATACAGCCTGCCCTCCACACTTCATTGCTTCCTTTGGTTATTTATCTAGTTCCAGGTCTCTATCTTATAAGAAACTTTCCTTAATTTCTCCAAATCACTGCTAGCCTTTCTCCCACCTGGTTTAGGACTGTTGTGAGGGTTCTGTAGAAAGGGAACTTTAGTCTCCCCATCAAGTCTGGAAGGTTGGAGAGGTCTCCCTGAAAGCAGTCTTTAGAGTTTTCACAATCTGTTCCCATCCTTGTCTAACACAGAACAGGGCCCAGGAAGGGGAGGGGAGGCAGGAGCCTGACACTGAGTTCCTACAGGTGTAGCTATGGCTAACGGGGACCGGTGGCGGATTCTCCGACGCTTCTCCCTGACTATTCTCCGGGACTTTGGCATGGGAAAGCGGAGCATTGAGGAGCGGATCCAGGAGGAGGCTGGCTTCCTGCTAGAGGCTTTACGGAACACCAAGGGTATGGAGGCATTACGGAACACCAAGGGTGGGGGAGGGGGGCTTCAAATGACTGGGTGGCTGTAGAGAGCTAAGTCATGAGAAGATGGGACTTTGTGGGAGAAAGTTCTGGAATGGGAGAGGATGAAAAATACTAAAGATTTCCAACTAGCTTTCATGTGAGTCTCTGCTTATTTCTGGGGACAGGACCAAATTTTATTACACACACAGAGAATTGTGGTAAAAACCACATGACATCACATTTGACCATCCTAACCATTTCCAGTGGTACCATTCAGCACGGTTATGTATATTCACATTGTTGAGACAGAGTTCTAAAACTTTCTCATCTTGTAAATCAGAAACTCAATACCCATTTTATCTGTATTTTTAAAGAAATATAGTAGCTGCCTATAAATAAAGTGTAAAACCACTGGAGTCTAGAGAGAAAAAGAGATTGAGAAATACAGATATGAATAAAATAAAAGATAGAAATGGAGCTAAATTTCTCTATATCAGAGATGCCTCACCTGGGCTCTGTAGATGCAAAACCATCCACATGAAGACTTTGAATGTTCATGGGCCCTCAGCTATTATTTGTGATATTGTATGTTGGCAAATATGGGCATAAACCTGGGAGAAATTTTCTCCAAAACCACTGGATCCTGGCCAGCATCCTGTTTGCAGGTGGTACAGTTGAAGTATTTTTTTAATAGCTCAAATGTCATCATTGGTAGAAACATACAGGCTTCACACCCCCTTAAAAAACAAGTGTCCCTTAACCACGCTTCCTTCCCAAATCTGTGGCTCTCCTCCAAACAGTTATGTACTAAGGACAGAAAGAGATGATTAAGCTCCACTAGCACTTCTTGAGCAACGACTGGCTAAGTATTTTACATAGTTAGATTGTGCCCTCATGAACCAGTGAAGTCGTTGTTAAATCCTTTTGCAGACTGCAGTTTGCAAAAATAACATAACTCACAAGCACTATTAAGCGGCAGGGTCAGGACTGAAGGTCTGTCCATGCCATGCTCCCAGTCCTGGCTTCCAACCTAGACAATTTCCACCACCCAGGTGCCCCCATCGAACCCACCTTCTTCCTGAGCCGCACTGTCTCCAACGTCATCAGTTCCGTGGTCTTTGGAAGTCGCTTCGACTATGAGGACCAGCAGTTCCTGAAGCTGCTGCGGATGATCAATGAGAGTTTCATTGAGATGAGCACATCCTGGGCACAGGTGCCCACAAGACCCGCCCCCCCCGCCATCCCCTCCACCGCCCACCTCAGTTAATGCCTAGTGCCTAGCCTTAGCTTACTTGTCCCCCAACCCTCGCGCGCAGGCACCTGAGAAGCTAAGGGACTCACCCCATCTTAGACCCGGCACTGGTGTTAAGCCTGGCTGCTTGACAGACTCATCCGTCCTGGCCCATCCCTGATGTCACTTTGCCCACCCGCAGCTCTACGACATGTACTCTGGCATCATGCAGTATTTGCCAGGAAGACACAACCGCATCTACTATCTGATAGAGGAACTCAAGGACTTCATCGCTTCCAGGGTCAAGGTCAATGAAGCATCCCTCGACCCCCAGAACCCTCGGGACTTCATTGATTGTTTCCTGGTGAAGATGCACCAGGTACCTCTTCCTCTTCTCCATGCCCCACCTCTCATCAGCTCAATTGCTAGCACCTGCAACCACACTTAATTGTTTAATGGTACCTTTTTTTTATTGGGGTAACACTGGTTTATGATAGTGTATATGACTTACAGGTTAGGTTCACACTCTTCAGATGTTAAGTTACCACACTACATCACACACTACACTGTGTGATGGAGAGGCCATCACACAGCACACAAAGTCTTCCCCCAGCTCTGTATGCCTCTCCCCCTTGGCTCACCACACCCCACCCTCCCCCATCTGGTAACCGCCTCAATCTGCCTTCAGATTTCTAGGGTTTATTTTGGTTTATTTTTGCCTGTTCATTTGCTTTATTGCTTCATAGTCCACATAGGAGTCAAATCAGGTGGCATTTGTCTTTCTCCTTCTGACTTACCTCACTTAGCCCCCTGAAATTTTGTCCTTTGCAAAAACTGGATGGAACAGGAGGGAGTCACACTGAGTTAAGTCAGAAGAAGAAAGATTTCCATGTTGCCGCAAATAGCAAGATTTCATCTTTTTAAACAGCTAAATAGTGACCCTCTGTGTGTATGTGCCATATTTTCTTTACATACTCATCTGTCATTGGACACTTAGGTGGTTTTCATAACTTATGCCTACACCTTTAAACTCAGCTGTAAACACCCTGGAGAAAAAAGCAAACATTGCTTTACATTATTTACTTTTATGATGAGATATAGAAACTATAGAGGCATAAACTTTAAAATAAATTTTGACTCTAAAAATTTGGGAACATAGAAATGTAAAATCATACACCTTTCTAATCACCTATGCCAAGGCTTAATACTGTAGAGAAGTAGAAGTAGAGAAGTAGAACAGTAGAATTTGAGTTCAGGCATTGAAAGTCTTTAAAACTGAATTTAAACTTTGAAATTAAAAGTTTAAAATTTTAGAGACATAAAAATTTAGAAGCTTATATTTGTGTCATAGTGTAAGGGCAGGAATGGACCCAGTGCAGGTTTTCTGATCCCATGCAGACCGGGTAAAGGAGTCAGAGCCCTCAGGTGTTTTGCAGGTCTTTTATTGGGGTTCACCAGGCATATGGCAGGCAGAGGTGCTGGGGGGCTGGGAGGCCTCCCAGTCCCCAGCAAATCTTCATTCTCTCTGGGCTCTATGGCGTTCTTTGCTTCTGCTTCCTTGCTTCTCTTATCGGCTTCTTTCTCAGATTCTGCTGCTTCTCGGCTTCTACTGGCGTTCCTGTGACGCCGCCCTTAAAAAGCACAGTCTTAGCCCAGGTGAATCCTATTTACATCTGCCACACCCTATTCCAGGTGCCCGCCATCAGGCATGCATTCAGGACAAGGATCCATCATCTGTCCTGATGGTGGGAGGGCAAAAAAGCCTGACATTTTCTTTACCCTACACATAGATTCTTAAAATTTTATAAATTGATGTTTTTATGTTATAGAACCAAGGCAATCTCTACTTTCTTCTCCTCCCTTGCCCCACTGTTCACTGCACTTCAACATCACTGGCTTCCTCCAAGACACCAGGTGTAATCCTGCCTCAGGACCTTTGGACCAACTATATCCTCCTCCAGGCGCATATTAGCTTACCTACCTATGGTGATCCACAAAGGCCTACCCAATACACAGGGAGGAAATAAGAAGATAAAGACAGTAGAGGTTGATTCTATTTCCTGTCCCTCTCATTTTCAGGACAAAAATAATCCCCAGACAGAATTCAACCTCAGGAATCTGGTGCTCACCACTCTCAACCTCTTCTTTGCTGGCACAGAGACTGTGAGCTCCACACTACGCTACGGGATGCTGCTGCTGATGAAGTATCCAGAGGTGGAAGGTGAGCTTGACAGTGCCCACCTGAGCTACTCACCTGGTGACTCCTTTTCCCAGAAGGAAAAAAGACATCCTCCTGCAACCCTGGAAGCCCATGCCCTACATTCTTCACACTTTATTTATTTTTTTAAAGATTTATTTATTTATGCATACAAGAGCTGGGGTACAGCCAGAGATGCAGGGGGTGAGAGGATTCACCAGAGACAGAGTGGGGAAAAGAACAGGCAGAATGACTGAAATACACTGCTGAGGGGAGCAGGGGGCAAGACAGGAGAGGTCTGCTGAGCCATGTAGGTTGCTCCCTGGCCGGGGATCGAACTCGTGCTGCAGAGGCTGTGGATAGTTTCGTAGGTTGCATCTTAACCCCTTGCGCCACCAGGGTGGACCCATTCTTCACACTTTAGAGCCTCAGTAGACGGCATTTCAGAATCCCTAGTCTGGAAGGTCACTGATTTCAATATTTTGCCTAATGCCTGTGGGCTGCTGTAGTGCCTTAGGCTGCTGTTTACCACTCGAAAACGTACATCTACTCTTACAGTTCTGGAGTCCAAATGTTCAAATAGACTTTCACTGAGCTCACTCAAGGTAGAATCAGATGCCCTGCCTGTCCCAGCTTCTAAGCTGCATTCCTTCTGTCTCTGGGTTCAAAATCTCTTTCTTCTGTCTTCAACAGTAACAGCACAGCCTCTTCCCATTTCTCTCTGCTTCCATCGTCTCCTCTCCTCTGAGGCTACCCTTCTGTTGCCACCGTATACAAACACCTGTGGTTATATGTAGAGCCATCCTGACATAGGGATAACCCTGAGATGGGGATAACCTCCCCATCTCAGTGCCATCATGTAATGATAGCTGCAAATCCCCTTGCATCATGTAAGCTAACATTCACAGGTTCCAGGCATCAACAGGTGAATATCTCGGATGACCCTTAGTTAGCCAACTGCAATGCCAAAATGAAAGAGATCCATCTTCAACACATCATAAGCCGGCCTTGTTGCGTAACTCCAGTAATGAGGGAGCCATTATTTATTTAAGCAAAATCCCCGATGTTGGCTTCTCCCCCTATGCTAATGCAGAGCCACACAAGCCAGTGGATTTTCCTGCCACAGATAATGGGTGACACTAATATGCTTCCATTCAAACTCTTGTAGTCTCTCCTCCATGGTGGGGCTTGTCTTTTACTAATATAAATAATCAAACATTATTGGATGCTTTCTGAGCTAAACACTGTCCTAGCTACTTTCATACTGGATTTTATGCAAATATAACTCTAAAGGGCTTGACAGACCATCATATCCATTTTGAGGATGAAGAAACAGGCACAGAAGATAAAGACAAATGACTCTGTGGATGAGGTACTGAGTGAGGTTGTTCATCCAGGAAATGTGGCGAAGGGTCACTGCACCATTAGGGTCCTTAATCACTGTCCTGTAAGCATCATTTGTCTCAGTCCTGTTCTGTTACCTGTGATGCCTCTTTCCCATCGTGTCAACAACCTGCAGGAAAGTCCTTCTGGGGCCAGGGCGCTGCCCCGTCACCAGCCTTCCATGGCTCCTCGGTGCCTTCAAGATAAAGACCAAACTGGGGGTGTGAGGTGGGCAGGGGTAGTTCTTACTTTATTAGTATAATTCGGTTTGGCTAACTTGATTGAGACCTAGGCAAAGTGCCAAAAGCCCAGACCCATCTCTAAGCTAGTGTAGGGTGTTGCTTCTTGGCTTTTTGGCTAAGATAGAGTTTCTAAGCGTAGGGAGTTGCGGTAAAAGAACCTCTGTATTGCAACAGGAGCTCAATGACTACCCTCATGTAATAATCATAACCATAGACACTTCATTTTCTAGGACTTCTTTTAAAAAATCATAGTGTTGGGGGGAATGTAAATTAAAAAAAAAGATAAAGATAAAAAAAAGATAAAGATCAAATGTCCACTGACACTGGAGGTCTCAGGCTATGTGTCTCCCAGTGCTCTGGGGAGTATTTATTTCTCCCCACCAATGTGTCAGCACTCAATAGAGAGAACCCGCACCCCATGACCTGCTCCCTCAGAATCCACAGGTGCTGAGGTCCAAGGCATGGCTCACCTCCCGACCCCGGGGACATGTCCTGTATCTTTGTCAATGTTTCCTGGCCCCTTCTAGCCAAGATCCATGAAGAGATTAACCAGGTGATTGGACCGCACCGGATCCCGAGTGTGGACGACCGGGCCAAGATGCCTTACACGGATGCCGTGATCCACGAGATCCAGAGACTGACAGATATTGTGCCCATGGGCGTCCCCCATAATGTCATCCGGGATACTGAATTCCGAGGCTACCTTCTGCCCAAGGTGGGGTTGCACCTTCCTTGCCCCTCCTTTCCCGAACTCCAGCACACCCGTCTCTCCTCCTGGTTCCTACCCCATACTCCAGCACCAATTCTTTTTTTCTTTAAGAGTTATTTTATTTTTATGCATACAAGAGCTGGGTACAGGCCACAGCTGCAGGGGGCTGGGGGTAGGGGTGAGAGGATTTACCAGAGACAGAGTAGGGAATAGAACAGGCAGACTGACTGAAATACACTGCTGAGGGGAGCAGCGGGCGAGTAGGAGAGGTCTGCTGCGCCATGTGGGTAGCTCCCTGGCTGGGGATCGAACTCGTGCTGCAGTGGCATCTTAACTCCTTGCCCCATCAGCGAGGCCCTCCAGCACCAATTCTAACTGCCCCATTTTCACCCCAGGGCAC